ATTGTATTATACTTAAAGACAAGGCTATTCAGTTAAGAGAAGAGCAAAAAGGAAAGAAAATTGTTATAATGGGTGATGTAACATGAATGCAGACATAATATGAGGTCCTTGGCACTCAGACTCTAGAGGGGTCATTTTGTGATCATGGGGCATCACCCTTACAGCATCAGGACAATGTCATATGGAGTCAGACACTGGAAGTGTGCTGGAGGCATTGACTCGGACTGATGGAAGGATGAGGCTGATGAGACTGAATAATCTGTGAGGTACGAACTAGCGGCGGAGGAATAATTATATATTAAAAGACAGCAGCATCATAAGAGGGGAACAAGAGTGACAGAGTGTGTCAGTGTGCAGTCTACCATCCTCTTAAAATACTCTGTCCAACAATATCAGTCTCATGAAGAAAGGTTTTTTAACGCTTATTCAAAATAGCAGAAAAACATGCATTCTTGTTCTCAGGAGGGGACATTGACAAAGGATTACTGGAAAAGTACACAGTAAGTACTTCATAGTACTTGTGGGGGTAGTTTCAGTAGTACTGAGTCCAACAGGGTCAATCTCACGAAGAACTAATGGCAACAAAAAAGAATTCCCTCATCAAATTTAGCAGAAGTGACTTGATTTTGTTCTCAGCAGGGGACTTTGACAGAGTATTTCTCAAAAAGTACACAGTAAAAGTACTTCAATGTATTGTAAGTAGTAGGCTAACTAATACAAAGTCAAACAGTATCAATTTCATTAAGAACTAATGGTAAAATTATATTTATATCATTCATCAAAGATAGCAGAAAAACATGCATTATGTACTAAGGAGGGGACTTTGACAGAGGATTACTCACAAAGTAAGTACACAGTAAAAGTACTTCATTTTATTTCTGGTAGAAGTCAAACTAGAACCGATTCCAACAGAGTCAGTTTTCTTAAGAACTTGTGGTAACAAATATGTGTATCACTCGTCAAATATAGCAGGAATAATGAAGAGCAGCTGATTTGAAAAAAACAACTCGAGAGACGGCTGAGTGACCGCAGTGCAGAACCGCTGTATAGTTTAAATCTCCTAACAATGTTGTCCATTTTAGACAGAGGCTTATTATATTTACAGCCCTTAATAACATTAATTTTCTGGGCTCAATATGTGTCTTGGCCGGCCGTTTTCGTTGTGATCGCTAAATTCCCCCTATTTATAATAATCACCGGTCCTTCAGCAGGATACTGTAGTGATCCAAAGTGTGATTTTAGCTAACGAGTGCTTTTGTTTTGAAATCACTTCCGTGAGTTTCGCCCCGCCCCTCGCTCCAAGGACCATTTGACCATTTAGTAAGGTAAAAAGCAAAAAGGCCTCTCAGACGCTCTTCCGTTTACGTGTTTAATAAATAAAAACAATTGGACGGTAGATACACAGATTATTATTCCTGCACCACTCTATAATTAGGATAATTTAAAGTAACACTTAACTTCAGATTTCATGGTCAATACTACTCTTTGAAAACATTGCTATAATAGCGTATGTGGCTCTTGAGAAGCTTTTTCTTTGTTTATTTGTATTTTGTTCAATCTGGATGTTACACATAACAGAAAGGCAAACTGGAGGTGTGTTTAAATGTCATTCTTGAACTTTTTTATTAGTTTGATTAAACAAACCTACAGTTAAAAAATCTGATCTTTCTTGAGTTTTTTTTAATATGAAATGGACAGTTTGCTCAGTTAGTGTGTTGTGATTGCATCTACTGAAACACAAACTAATCTTTTCCTAACTGTTTGGTTTTTACTTAAAATCAACACAAATATATTGAAAAGGTATTCTGCTGGTGAAACCAAGAGAAA